TCAGCAAAAGAGTGATGTTATGTGATCCAAAACTTTTGACGTCTGTATATCAGGCCATCAAAATACCTTGAAGCCAGATGTAGTGGTGCACACCTATAATCTCAAACCCCAGGACTCTAAGGTAGGAAGGAGGATACCACTTTCTAAGCCAGTCTAGGCTGTAGAGAGAGACTGTCTCTAAAATCAAAAGTCTTCAAACCTCACTGACTTTTAAAAATATGTGATATTCCATAACTGGGTATAGTGGTTCATGCCTTTAATCCCAACACTAGGGAGGCAGAGGCAGATGGATCTTTTGAATTCTAGATAAGCATGGTCTACAGAGCTAGTTCCAGGACAGCCAGGGATGCACAAAGAAACCCTCTCTAGAAAAACAAAAACAAAACCACGAACAAAAAAAAAAAATGGAAAGAAGGTAAGAAGTATATTTACTGGGCTCTAAAAATGTGTGTGTCTTTCTTTAACATTGTTTATAGTGCTATGTGTGCGTTTGGTCTGTGTGCCATGGCAGTTGTGTGGAGATCTTAGGACAGCTTGTCACCCCTCTGCACATTGCAGGCAGTACCTTGACTCTGTATGAAGGTGTGACTGTCCCTTTAAGAAACAAGCTCCTCCTGCTTTCTCTTCCATTTCTCCAAGGCAGGTCAGTGTCTCTGTCTCTTTTTCTCTCTCCCTCTTTCTCTCCTCCCTTCCCCCAATAATCTTTCCACATAAGTTCTGTCTGCAGGTCACTGTCTGTCCCTTATGTGCCAGGGGATCTGTCAAAGGTCCTACCTTACAGCTGTATTCATAACACACTCCCCTTCATCATGCAAGTTTCAAGCATGAAACTCAGCTTGTCAGGCTTGTCAGCGAGTACCAAGATGCCCCCAAGATGCATTTCTTCTCTTTTTCCCTTTCCCCTCATCCTTCTAGTGCTAAACTCCAGGGTTCCTACCATCTATACTTCAAAAGTGGGGATCATTAAAAGTAAAGGAGTACTGAAGGATTGTGATCTGAAAAGTTGAAATGCTGGAACTTTTGTCAGGCAACAACGGTTGCCATGTGGTCCACAGCAGCCTACCATACACAAAGCCCTGGATTGTATCCTTAACCTTATATAAACTGTATAATGGTACAGGTCTGTAATCCCAGCACTGATAGAATGGATGCAGGAAGATCAGGAGTTCAAGGTCATCAACTACACAGAGAGATAAGGCTAGCTTGTGCTACAAGAGACTTTGTCCATAAGGGGGTGGGAGTTTGAGGGAGATGGAAGGAGATAGCTCAGTGTTAAGAGCACAGGCTGCTCTACCAGAGGATCAGGGTTCAATTCCCACTGCCCACATGGCAGCACACAACCATCTGTAACTCCAGCCCAGAGGATCAGAACCCTCTTCTGGCCTCTACAGGCTCTAGGCACACATAAAGTAAACAGATACTCAATCAGACAAAACACTCTACACATAAGACAATTTTTCCCCCCTAAGGGTTTCTCTGTCTTGAAAAAACTATATTGGTGTTTAATTTGGGGAATGGAAACCCTTTTTAATTCTCTCCCTGTCCCCATTTCTAGTCATTGCTAAAATCCCAGCACTGTAAAACAGAGGCAGGGCAAGTAAATCAAAGCAAAACAAAATCCCCCAAAAACTAACCCTGAACAAAAAGAAAGAGCTGGGTTCAATGTCACACACCTGTGATCCCAGCATTCAGGAGGCATAGGCTGGCAGATTACTGAGTTCAAGACTAGCCTGGTCTACATAGAGAGTTCCAGACCAGCTAAAAACTATACAATGAGACCTTGTCTAAGAAAATAGACAAATGAAAGTAAGTCATATGTATGAGGCTAGAGAGATGGCTCAGGGGTTAAGAGCATCTGCTGCTCTTACAGAGGACCAGAGTTTGGTTCCCAGAACCCACATTGGGCAACATTGGGCAGTTCACAACCACCTACTCCAACTGGGGGGGGGGGGGGCTTGTGTGTGTCCATACACAAGGACTGGTGAGATGGCTTAATTCCTGCCTGATGACCTGTGTATTCAATTCCAGAACTAACATAGTGGACAGTGAAAAGCAACTTCCACACCAGGCGCTGGTGGTGCACACCTTTAATCCCAGCACTCAGGAGGCAGAGGCAGGTGGATCTTTGTGAGTTCCAGACAAGCCTGGTCTACAAGAGCTAGTTCCCGGACAGGCTCCAAACTCCAAAGGCACAGAGAGACCCTGTCTTGAAAAACAAAAAAAAAAAAAACTTCTACAAATTAATTGTCCTTTGACCTCCACATGTGTCACACACAATAAATAAATGTAATACTTTAAAAAAATGTGAAAGGAACCTGTATGTTTGGCTAATTCTGAGATTTAACTGTGAATAATGAGTGCTTGGTGACTTGGTGAGCAAAGGTGCTTCCATCCTGCCTTTCTGTCTGCCTTTGGGCTGGCCCTCGCCAGACTCTTCTTCCCAGCTGAAGTCCTCCCGGATGCAAGTGTCAATGCAGTATAGGAATTTAATTGTTCTCCCAGCACAAAGTGTTGTAACTCAAAATGGTTTTGGTAAAAGAACGAAGTCTCTGAAATAGATTTCTCTAGAAATAGATTCCTTTAAATTATAATTATTGTCTGCAACAGCACTCCTACTCAGATAGAATTCTGTGGGACTCGATAGGTTTATTGTGTCTATCTGGCATAGCAGTATGGTACGTCATGACTGCTTTCTCATTTGTACCTTCTCATTTTGTATGTGTACAAATTGTTCTCAGGAAAAAAATGAATATATTTAGAGGAATGTCATTCAGATTCTGAAAAACATGTGTTTGTATAACCGGGTATAAGGCATGCATATGAAATAAATATTTAGTTGCAGGTAACAGTGCCCTCTGTATTTGCAAATTCAGTGGGTCCTCAATGTGTAAAATACCTGTGTCCCAAATTTTAAATACAGTGTGAACTCTGAAGAGGCTGCCAGGTTTGAGTTCTGATCTTGTTAGGGAAACTGCTGAACTTCTCTAGCTGTTTTCCCAATGGTAAAATGGTCAGGCTGACATGGGGACTCATTTTATAATTGAGGTGTAGTGCACATAACACATTTTAAAGTGTGCACTTCAGTGGTGTTTAGTACATTAAGAATGTTGTACAACCACTACCTTTTTTTTTTTTCTTTTTGAGACATGGTTTCTTTGTGTAGTCTTGGCTATCTTGGAACTCTTTCTGTAGACCTGACTGGCCTCAAACTCAGAGATCCTTCTGCTTCTGCCTCCTGAGTGCTGTGATTAGAGGCATGTGCTACCTCCACCCAGCTACTGCTAAAACATGAGTGTAGACTACATACACATGATGGGGTTTACTGATCCATGAGAAAAAAATGAGCAATTGACACACACTACTGAGTGTAGGAAAATAAACAGTTGTGGGTTACAAGATTATTCTTATAGGAAATACACAGAATGTGTGTGTCAATAGAGAGAAAACATATTTGTGGTTGCCAGAGGTTGAGTAGAGGGGTAAATGAAGAGCACTTGCTTATGAATCGTCTCTTTGGGTTTTATTTTTGTTTTGAAATATAGTTTCACGTTCTAGGCTGGCTTTGAGCTTGTTAAATGGTCAGAGATGGTCTTGAACTTCTCTCCTGCCTTTTCCAAGTACTGGAATTACAGGTGTTTACCATGCCCAGTTTATGCAGAACTGGCAAGTCAAGTCCAGGGTTTGTGCCTTTCAGGCAGGCACACTCTGTCAGCTGGGCTACATCCTCAGCCCTGAAGATGTACTCTAAAATAACTACTTTTATATAATATGAATTTTACTTCAATTTCAAAAGCAAAAACTATACCTGATGGTGGTGGCGCACACCTTTATTCCTAGCGCTTAGGAGGCAAGTGCAGGTGGATCTCTGAGTTCAAGGCCAGCCTGGTTGATAGAGTTTTCCAGAACAGCCAGGACCAAAGAGAAATTCTGTCTCAAAAACAAAGCAAAACAAAAAGCTCCAGAAGCCAATAAAGTATAAGACTTTTATAAGTCTTTTATACTTTTATAAGTATATTACTATTGTGATATTTTGTGTTCTGACTAATAAAGTATGTCTGAAGATCAGAAAAGCAAAGGAGCAGCCATAGGCACCTCTTAACCTCTTCAAATCCTCTGACCAAACGGCTGAGATCTTGTCTACACCCTGTCTTATCATTTCCTGTCTCCACCCAGACTTATTACTTCTTGTATCTTTTATCTACAAAGCTCAAGACCTCTATGGATAACTAGTGGCTAGCTCCAACATCTGATCTCAAGGCAGGCTTTGTTAGAACACAAATAAAATATCACAACATTTCCCCATTTTGTCTAAATCTGGAACTTTTTATGTAAACCAGGTTGGCCTTGAACTCATAGAGATCTGTCTGTCTCTATCTTCTGAATTATGAAATTAAAGATATGTGCCAAATGTTTGACTTAGAATATATTTTTAATTTATGTCCTATTTTGATTTTGGGGAGTATTAGAGGTCTTATAGTAGCAACTGAACTGAGAAAAAAGTCAAAATTCTATTTATCTGTTGTCTTCAAATGTACTATAGTTTTGTTTCTTTTTCAGCATCAGAGAAATTAAACTCTCTTTTTGTTTCAGTAGCTAATAATTGAACTATGGATGTAAATGATCCCAATAGATTAAAGTACTGTGTTTATTTGATAAGAATTGAATTTAACTGATTGTACTAATGAGTTTTTGATCATTTAAAAGTTGCAGTCTGGGTCTAGAGAGATGGCTACTATTACAGAGGACCTTAGTTTATTTAATTCTCAGCACCCACATAGCAGCTCATAACCATCTGAACTCCAGTCCTGGGCAATCTGACACCCTCTTTTAGCTTCCACAGTACACCAGGCATGCAAATAATACATAGACCCATATGCAGATAAAAACACCTATACACATAAAATAAAATAAATTTAAAAATTTAAAACCACGCTATTTTTTTTAAAGTTGTGGCCATGTTTAAGTTATCATAATGGCTAAACATGTTTTTAACTTTGCAGGGAAGTGTGACTGCCATGACCGTGTTCTTCCCCTTGGATACTGCTAGACTTCGACTTCAGGGTGAGTATTGATCACATTACTAATCTTCTGACTCTGGGAAGCAAATATTTCTCTGGTACATACTGCACCAAGATAAGAATATTCTTTTTACACAACCACTGTTGTCGGCTTGCTTGTTTGGTTTTGTAAACGGGTAATATAGCCTGAGCTGGCTTCAAACTCTCTCTTTCTCTCTCCCTTTCATATGTATGTATGTATGTATTCCTAACCATGAACTCATCCTCCTGCCTCCACCGCTAAAGTTCTTGCTTTGTAGGTATGCACCACTGCACCTGACTTAAATATTTGATCCCTCCACTTCTCTTTCTGTGCTTGGGGCTGAACCTAGAGCTTTGTACAAGCATCTAGTCCTTTTTCTTACTTTTATAATCTTTCACTCTTTACTCCATTGCTGTTTGGGTGATTGACCCCTGCTGTCCACTGTTCTCTTTTTATTTATACTCTTTGCCTGCCAACCCCACCTGTCTTTGCTCCTGCCTTACTATTGGCCATTCAGCTCTTTATTAGGACCACCAGGTGTTTTAGACAGGCACAGTAACACAGCTTCACAGAGTTAAACAAATGCAGCATAAACAAAAATCACACACCTTAAAATAATATTCCTCAACACTCTGCCTTCCCAGTGCTGGGATTAAATGCATTCACCTCCACCACCTGGCTAAACTGGTCATTTTTAAAGAAGTGAAGTTTTCTAAAAAGAGAAAGGAGACTGAGAAACAGTGGAGACATATACCTGCTGTCCTTGCTAGTCTAGATATGTCCTCCTAACCTATCTCTAGCACTACAGGATTTTACACTTTGCTGTAATTGTCTTTCTCTTATTTTTTTTAACTTGAAATTATCATTATTGTTGTTGTTGTTGTTATGGTTATTATTTTGGTATTTCAAGACTGGGTTTCTCTGTGTATCCCTGGTTGTCCTGGCACTCACTCTGTAGTCTAGACTTGTCTTGACCTCAAAGATCTACCTGCCTGTGCTAGAATTAAAGGCATGTACCACCGTCTGGCTCAACTTAAAATTATAAACTGATGCCACAGCTTGCATAAAGAGAGTTTGACAACTAGCTCAAAGGTTAAACACTTTGTGCCTACTGCTTGTAGTTAGAATTTTTAGGTAGGGAATTATATGGTTCACAAAGTAAAACATAGGAAGGACTGCTCTATAGGGATACCTCAACTTCACCTTTACTCCTCTCCACTGTATGTAGCACTGACTGACTTTGTGTTGTTTCTTTGGTATCTTCCTTGATAAGAAAGATGGGTCTCTCTTTCTCTCTCTTAGTTTTTAAAATTACTTTTAATTATATGTATGCTGCATATCTGGGGGTCTGCACATATGAGTGCAGATGGCCTCAGAAGCCAGAGATGTTGGAATCCCTGGAGCTACAGGCAGTTGTGAACCACCTGATCTGCTGAGAATCAAACTCAGGTCCTTTACAAGAGCAGTACAAGCTCAACTGCTGAACCATCTTTCCAGTCCCTTGATTTCTTGATTTGGACATCCTTCAGGATGGCAGTGTAGGGTGGGCTCTGTGTACACCTGCAATCACAGCTACTTGGAAGGCTGAGACTTGTGCACCATTTGAACACAGGTGCTAAACTGAGACCTTTTAGAGATGAAGGGAGGAAGAGAGAATGAGAGAGGCAGAGCAAAATAAAAGAATGTTTGCACAATCTAGAGTCTGGTGTGGTGTAGAAGTAAAGCATGAGACTGTCAGTCAGCCTTTCCTGGTTTTCAGACTTTATAGAATAACAAGCAAGTAAAGTAGATTGTGAATTTTCTACCTTACTCATACAAAAAGTACACTTTATTCTAGACCATACATTTAAACAATAATGTTTTAGGTTTTATTTCATGTATATGGGTGTTGTACTCAATGTTTATCCATGTTCCACATACGTGCCTGGTGCTCACAGAGACTATAAAAGGCATCAGATTCGCTAGCACTGGGCTTACAAATGGTTGTAAGCCACCATATGTGTTGGGAATTGAACCCTGGGTCCTCTAGAAGAGCAGCAGTGCCCTTAACTGCTGATTCATCTCTTTAGTCCACACACACACACACACACACACACACACACACACACACCGACTTTCTATCCTCAGCTAGGCAGTGTGTTTCTTTCTTCATCCGATTTTCCAGTTGTCAAGTAGTCTGGTGTGGATGCAGTAAAACCTGCTTACCCTTATCCTATGGTGGAAAAATTCTTAGGTTGTGTCACATTTTTGTTATTATTGTTCTTGCAAATATGATGTAAGAATAGATTGTTCATAGGCCATTTTGTTTCTGTAAACTTTATGAGATAAATTCCCAGATGTGGGATTTCTTCTGAACCAAGGGGTAAATGTATGTGTGATTTTGAGTAAACGCCAGATTGCTGACTAACTGGCCATTTCATAAGATATACTGGTGGTACCAATTTTAATTCTGATGAGGAAATTGGTTCATCTCCACATTTTTCAGATTAATTTTCTAGTATGGGCAGGAAATTTAAAGTTAATTGAAGTGCATATTGTTTTCAGTGGTAATGCACAAAAAATGAGTATGTTGCCCTTCCGGGATTGTTTTTTCTTTTCTTTTTTTTTAGGTTAGGAAGCAGTACAACGCCACAACTTTTGAAGCTTGAGTTTTAATCCTGACTTTGCTTTTGTTTTCCTGGTCTCTTTTATAAATGGAAGAGAGCAGGGGTTGGAGAGATGGCTCAGAGATTAAGAGCTTTTGTAGCTCTAGCTGAGGACCTGGGCTCAATTCCCAGTACCCACATGGTGGTTCACAACCATTTGTAACTCCAGTTCTCTATGTTATCCAGCACCCTCTTCTGCTTTCCTGGGTACTAGGCACACATGTGGTGCACATATACATGCAGGCAAAACACTCATACATAGAAGATAAAATTAATAAATCTTTTTTTGTTTTTAAGTTTTTTGTTTTCTAGTTTATAAGGTGTGGGAATTAAAATAAGAACATGCATGTTAGTTGAAAAGAGTACTATAGGGGATGGAGAGCTGGCTCAGCAGTTAAGAACATTTGCTGATCTCCAGAGGATCAAAGTTTTGTTCCCAGCACCCACATCAAGAGGTTCGTAGTTGCCTTTACTCCAGGTCTACAGGATCTGTCCTCCAAGGTTTCCTGGGTACATATATCACACATCAGTCACAGAGGCACACTTAAGGAGGAAAGGAAGGAAGAAGGGAAAGGATAGATGGATTTTATATGGAGCTAGAGGGATGGCTTAGTGTTTAAGAACATGTAGTACTCTTCCAGGGCACCCAAGTTCAGTTCCCAGTAACTCCAGTTCCAGGGATCCTACACTCTCTTCTGGTCTCCAAGATACCTGCAGTCATGAGACACAAAATTAAAAATAAAATAAATATTTTAAGGAAGAACACTGGAGCAAGTTGGTGGTGGCACACACTTAGGAGGCAGAGGCAAGTAAGTCTCTTATTTGAGGCCACCCTGGTTTACATAGTGAGTTCCAGGACAGCCAAGGCAACAAAGAGAAACCCCATGGGGGGAGGGGCATGAAGAGCACTATAAAATCCCACAAATAACATTTCTGCTTAATGTGGAAATTAGGGTTTAAATTAAAATTCTGAATAACAAAGGAATTTACTTTGGAGAAGTAAGCCATGGATCTGAGGCAAAGTAGAGAGCTCAAAAAATGGATGAGAGTTTGTACAGGTGGTATGAAGACATTTTAATGAAACTTGCTGATGCTAGAGATAATAATTCTCTTCATTCTTACAGTTGATGAAAAAAGAAAGTCAAAAACTACACATGCAGTGCTCCTGGAAATTATTAAGGAAGAAGGCCTGTGAGTACCTATTTCACAACTCCTTTAAAGTGGCTTGTTAGGAGACTCACATGCCAGGCAGGAATCAGAAGTCCCTGCTTATAGGCTTATAGTCTTGAGAGTTTGTAATTGCCTGACAAATAGAGGTGTATTTGTTCTTAATTCATTACAGGTCCGTTGGCCACTTGATCTTTATTTTTAGATTTATTTCTGAGTATGAATATTCTGCTTATATGTATGTGAGTACCTGATGCCCAAGGAGGCCCTGAGAGGATGTCAGATCCTCTGGAACTAGAGTCATTCATACATAGTTGTTAACCACCATGTGGTTCTGGGAACCAAACCCAGGTCCTCTGCAAGAATAACAAATGACCTTAGCTGCTGAGCCATCTCTAGCCCCTACCATTTGATATTTATTTATTTATTTGTTTGTTTGTTTGTTTGTTTTGGTAAATTATGGAGCCTTCTAGAAAATTTAATATATTACAGAGCAGCAGTACTATTGCTTAGGAGTGGAGGATTTAGCTCACTGTGTTTGCCTAGCCTTTACAGGGCCTCGTTTAAATGCCAGAAGCACACATCACACAACCCACAAACACACACACAATTCATATAAGACACACACATACATACCACACAAGACATACATTTGATTCACATAAAACTCATACATATACATCCACAAGACTCTCTCTCTTTCTCATACACACACAGTTCATTCCTATCAGTTACATCCAGACAGATTGCATTATCCTTTTTTTAAATTTTTTTTGAATTTGTATTTTGGAATAATTCCAGAGTTGCAAACAATTTCAAAATTGAAATTGGTATAAAGAGCACCACTGTAGCTTTACATGTTTATTGACCTTTTTCTCACACTTTATGCTCACACTTGCCCTCTCTATGCTTCTATCACACACATGCATATTACATATAATTTTTTCAGTTATTTAAATATCAGTTACATGTATCAAAACATTTTAACTTCTATGCCATTGATATTCTCCCTTCCATTTTTCTTTTCTTTCTTTCTTTTCTTTTTTTTTTTTTTTTTTTTTTTGCTTGAGACAGAGCCTCTTTATGTAGCACTTGCTGTGTTGACCTTGAATTCAAAGAGATCCATCTGTCTCTGCCTCCATAGTGCTGAGATTAAAGGTGGGCTTTCAGTTCTTGTTTTACATATGCCTCATGGTTAGATTTGTGTTCTTGAGAAGAATAATGAATGCTGGCCGGGTGGTGGTGGTGGTGGTGGTGCATGCCTTTAATCCCAGTGCTCAGGAGGCAGAGGCAGGAGGTTCTCTGTGAGTTCAAGACCAGCCTGGTCTATAAGAGCTAGTTCCAGGACAACTTTCAAAGCCACAAAGAAACCCTGTCTGAAAAAACAAAACAAAAGAAAACAAAAAGGCTGGGTAAGAATTGCTTAGGACAGGAATTTAGGGCCAGGCTATTCAGTATGATCAAACATTTCCCTCTCTCTCCCTCTCTCCTTCCCCCCTTCTCCACTCTTCCTATTCCTCTCCTCCCTCTTCCTTTTTCTCTTTTCCCCTCCCCTCTCCTCCTCTATCTGTCTTTCCTTCTCCTTTTTCTTTCCCCTCTTGCTGCTTCTCCTTTGCTCTCTCTCCTTTTCTCCACAACCCCCACCTCATATTGTCCATGTGCTTTGGCTACTTTCTGTATAACCATTTTTTTTTTTCCCCTGCAACTCTAAGCATCCATGGGGAGAACCTTTTAAAGTCCTGCAGATGTCTTAACAAGCCTGGAGACTGTTCATGTAGACCAGACTTTCCTAGGCTTCATATTAATTACTTTTCTCAATTCTGTGACCAAGTGCCTAGGAGGGTTCATCCTGACTTACACGTGAAGACAGTTTACAATTTGTCACAGTAGGGCAGGCATTAGTTCCTCTTGCAAGGCTCTGCCTCTTATACCCTTCCCAGGGAGAGGGGTTGGCACCAAGCATTCAAATAATAAGCCTTCAGGGATCGGTTTACATTTGAAACTTGCCAGGCTTCTCTGACAATTTCCTGTGGCTTTTGTCCATAATCTTTACTTTGCTTATTGTGTTTTTTCCATAGCCTGGCACCATACCGAGGGTGGTTTCCAGTTATTTCAAGTCTCTGCTGCTCCAATTTTGTCTATTTCTACACTTTTAATAGCCTCAAAGCAGTATGGGTCAAAGGTCAACGTTCTTCTACTGGAAAAGATCTGGTGGTTGGATTTGTTGCAGGTAATAAGGTTTTCTGGGTATAAAATATCTTTATATTTTAATATTGAGCTGTGCTTTGTATATCCTCTAAGATATACACCCAGTAGAGCTGTGGGGAATATGGTCAGTTTTTCTGACATGTTTTCTTTTCTTTTTTTTTCTGACATGTTTTCTTAATGTGATAAAAGCACATGACATAAAATTTGTCACTATAACCATTTTAAGGTTAGTAATATGAAGTATGTTTGCATTTTAAAACTGACACCAGAGGCTTTTTTTTTACTTTATAAACTTCATAACCCCTAAGTAAATTCCCCATCTCTCCTCCCCCATCACCTGGTAACCCCATCATTCATTCTACTTTCTGCCTTTAGGGGTTTGACTACATTTGATACTGCATATAAGAGAAATCATACAGTGTTTGTCTTTGGTAATAGGCTAATTTCACTTAGCTAAGTTCACCCGTATTATAGCATTTGACATATGTTTTCCTATTATGTCTAGATAATATTCTGTTGTATAAATACATTGCATTGTGTGTATCATTTCATCTGCTAATGGACATTTGAGTTTCATCCACCTCTTGCAGTTGAATATGCTTCATGAATATGGGAGTGGGTATCTCTTTGGGAACTCCTCTCAAGTGTATTGGTGGAGTTTCTCTGTGTCTCAGCACAGAATTATTAATTATAAATACTTGACTGATAGCTTAGGCTTGTCTCCAGCCAGCTCTTACAACTTAAATTAACCCATTTCTGTTAGTCTATGTGCTGCCACAAGCCTTGTGACTTTTACCTCCCTTGCATGTCCTGCTTCCTTTTTATCTGGTTGGTGACATCTCAGACTGCCCTCACCCACACCCACACCCACACCCCGAGACAGGGTTTCTCTGTGGCTTTGGAAGCTGTCCTGGAACTAGCTCTTGTAGACCAGGCTGGCCTTGAACTCACAGAAATCCACCTGCCTTTGCCTCCCAAGTGCTGGGATTAAAGGCGTGCGCCACCACCTCCCGACTCCTGACTTCTTTTTAATGACAAGTACAGTAGAATTCTAAGGACTGGTCAATTATTCAATATGTTGAGCATCTAACTGCTCCTGTATCAGCTGTTCTAGTGCCTGTAATTTTTCTGCTGTCAAAGGTCATTGTTCTGCCCACCAGTTTTATCAGTTAACCATTTTAATTGTAGGACTCTTGGAACCCTTGAAAGATCACCAGCTGTTGTGCCCTGCTTATGTACAACATGAACAGTCTGTGACTCTTCTTGATAATACCTTTTAATGTTTCTCTCAGAAGCATTCTTTATTTTACAGTTTGTTTCTGAGATTGGGGGAATGTTAATCTGTGTTTTCCATTGCTGCAACAAATCACATCCCCATAAATTCATTGCTATGCTAGCTGCATATGGTTTTAATTTTCCTATCTCCTTCAGGCCCTATGTACTCGACCCAACTTGCACTTTCTTTTACCTGAGATAAAATTCCAACCCCAAGAAGCTTCTTAAGAGACCAATGTGGATGCCAAGATTTTGGCGAAGACATTTATACTTATGTCTACCAAACCCTCAACTTCAGTGCTATTTACATATATTTTTAGCCTTAGTCTCTGTTCATTTATAGTAGTTTGCCAAAATATTTGTTTTCTAGTCTCTCCTGAACTTTTTGTTGTATCTATAGAAGTTGTTCTCTCTTTGATCACATCCAGAGCAAGGGGAATTTTAACAACAGTTATTAATAGTTTTTTAATTGCTCTGTGGATGAGTTTCTCCAATGCTGTCATGGAATGATTAACCCAAATTTGATATTGGGCTATGTAGGAGACCCCTCAGGTATTCCCTGATCACAAAGGGTTCTATCTCTTGTTGATCTGCATTCATTAATCCAATGCTAGCCTTTGCCCCACCTTCTGCCTATTCCAGAAGGCTGGGACCTTCTGTTCAGGTTATCTCTAAGAAAAAAAGAAAAAGTTGTTTCTAGGAACATCTCACCTATAATTCCTTTTCAAATGACCTTGTTTACCACAATTAAAACATCTCAGGAAATTACCTTCCTATCAAAACAGCCATCATAAGTGTGAGATCCAATATCAGCTGCATTTCTAATCCATTCATCTATTGGTACTGATCACCCTTTTGCATTCTGACTTAACATTTTCAAAAGCCAAGGACTTGATTAATAGTTGTCTAAGTTTGCTTGGCAGTGGTGGTGCACGCCAATAATCCCAGCACTTAGGAGGTAGGAGCAGGTGGATCTCAGTGAGTTCAAGGCCATCCTGGTCTACAAAGTGAGTTCCAGGACAGCCAGGACTGTTACAGAGAGAAACTGTGTCTCAAAAAATGTGTGTGTGTGTACAGTTGAAGTCAATCTTTGTAAAAGAAAGAAAAAATCAGTGAAGGCTTGTATAATTTTTTGTAAATGACTCAGTTCTCTTTCCTGATTCTTTAACCCTATTCCAAACATTCAAAGATGCTACAAGACATAGCATCAAGATGTGATTATCAAATCTAAACTGTCTTTGCAAATCAACATCCTGGCCTTTACCAAGTGGCTGGTCTTGAGAAATTTCCATCCCTCTAGCCCTACCTCATTTTTCTATGATCCTAGCTTCCTCTTTCCACCATGTTTTCTACTGTAACTGAGGGTCAGCCTCCAATATTACTGTAGCTAAATCTCTTCAATCTTGTGGGGTAATTCTGTTCTGAGTCAACTTCTGCATAGTCTTGGGGGTTTCTTTCATCTGTGGTTGCTCTTGTATGGTAACTGGATAAAATAAAGTTGGTTTTCTAATAACTTTAGGCCATTCTTCAATTTCATAATGCAATGGTGCAATAGGTTCTGCTTTAAATTCCTGTCTGTGTCTGAATATTTTTCTTACTTTCATCAGTAAATCTTTTTAAGGTTTGTATCTTATCAAATTTTCATATTTGGTGACGTTATCAAACCAGTTTAAGGATAAAATATGAATTACCAAACTCATAGTAATTAAAATCAGTATTATGTTAATTCCAGCAAGTTGTTTATTCCCTCATTTATTTTCATCTCGAGCACCATTTTCAAGCCATCCATAGTAGCACTAAACAAGGTCCTAACTCTCTGCATTGTGGTATTTCTGATTCTTAACATGGGAAAGATTTTTCCCTTTTTTTTTTTTTTTTTTTTTTTTCCAATTCTTAATTTCCCCTTTAAAAATTCCCAGGTGTCTCATCTGATCTGCTGATGCTGCAGTAACAATGTGTGACCATGCCCGTATGGAGGGCTGGCATGACCAGGTTCTCCTATGAGCACCACCACCACTGCCTGGGGTTCTCAACTTTCCTATTACTGCAGCCTTTTACTATAGTTCTTCATTGTGTGGTGGTGGTGGTGGTGGTGGAGCACACCTTTAATCCCAGCACTCAGGAGACAGAGGCAGGCAGATCTCTGAGTTTGAGGCCAGCCTGGTCTACAAAGTAAGTTCCAGGACAGCCTGGGCTACACCCGGAAATTTCTTTCTTAAAAAAAAAAAAAAAAAAAAAAAAATCATTGCTACTTCATAACTGTAATTTTGTTACTGTTATGAATTGTAATGTAGACATATGATATGCAAAATATCTGATATGTGACCCCTGTGAAAGGATCATTTGATCCCCATAGGCATCATGACCCACAAGTTGAGAACTGCTGGTTTTTTATTCAGATTCTACTTAAAACTTAAATTATTTATTATATTTCCACAGAAAAATCCCATAAACATACCTAGAAGAATTTGGCAGTAGACTCTTACAGATAGCATAATAAATGAAAACTGTTTGCCATGTTTATGAAATTGTGATTTTGAGCAGCAGCACTTTTGGATACCAGTTGCCATTTTCAAAGTTGAAAATGTATTGCCTACCTCTGCCTTAATCTGGCCAGGCAAGTTTATCCTTGTTGTATATCGTAATGCACAACTCTCTAGGGAGACAGTAGTTTAGCTTAGGTTTATGGCTTTCATTTGACGTTTTGTTTTATTTCATTCAGTCTTTGGGACCTTGAGGATTTCTTTTATGTTTTTGGTTTGTTTGGTTTGGTTTCTCTATTTAACAGTCGTAGCTGTCCTAGAATTCCTTTTGTAGATCAGGATGACCTTAAACTCAGTAAGATCCACCTGCCTCTGCCTCTCAAATTCTTGGATTAAAGGCATGTGCCACCGTGGTCTGGAGGAGGATTGCATTTTGAAACAAGCTTTCTTTATACAGACTCTGCTGTTTTTGAAGTCACAGCCTTCCTGCTTTAGCCTTCCACCCTTAAGATACCATTTTCTTTCTCTTTTAAAATTTATTTATTTAAGTACTGTGTGTGCGTGCACATATGCATGCCTGTTACCCATGTCCATATGTGTGGAGGCTGGAGGATACTGGATATTGTTCTCTATAGCTCTACCTTATTCCCCTGAGGTGGGATCTTTCCCTAGAGCCCTTGAATCTGGAACCCACCCATTTCTGGGTAGGCTAAGCACTAGGGTTACAGACATATACAGCCATCCATTCCCAGCTTTTTATTGGGTTGCTGAGGATCTGAACTCCATCTCCCCAACCCTGAACATTTTCTTGTATCAGCTGTCATTACACACTTCCCAGTTTTGCATCTGAGACACATTCCCTCTTTAACAATGCTGCTTATTTTGAAGAGTTCAGAAGTAAACAGCAACATCCCAGTTACTCCTGGTTTGAGGATGAACAACCTGTGCTTCTTTATCCTGGGAAGGTTTCTGAATTTAGCTGACAGACAGATTAACAAAGCAAAAAGATACACAAATGAGATCTTGTCTCAAAAAGCAATCCCCACCAAAAAGAATATAGAATAAAATAAAAGGAAATGGTAGATTGTCTGAAGGTTTCTATTGCTGTGCCAAAACACTATGACAAAGAAACAAGTTGGAGAGAAAGGGTTTATTTGACTTATACTTACATGTTGTACTTCATTATTGAAGGAAGTCAGGACAGGAATTCAAACAGGGCAGGAGCTGGGAAGCAGGAGCTGATGCAGAGACCATGGCGAGTTAC